ATTGTAATTGATAAATATTTTATCGTACTCATGAAATCTGTAACTTTCAATAATGACCAAAAAATATTCAAATGAACGTTTAAAATGTACTCATGTTCCACGTTATTTGAAAGAATATTAAGAATCTAAATAAGTTCTCTGAATACTCAAAATTCTGTAACTGTGAGGTAATAGAAACACGACTGTTAGAAGCCACTGGAAGTGACACCATCTATTATCGTAATGCGCGACAAAATTTTAACATTTGGTTTTAATTGTTCGTTTCCCTGGAGCATCATTAAGTTAAGTAATCATTTTGATTTAGTATTAAAAAAATTAATAAACGTGATATAGAATATTTTATACATATCATCGAGTCATATTTTTAACTTTGTTGATGATTATTTTTAAGTTTGAAGCAGCTCTAGTAGACCATTGTCTTCTCCTCCAAAAAAAAAAATACAAATTTGAATAATTTTAATGAATATTTGTCAGAGTTATACATGGTGTTGGTCCGAGGGGAGAGTGGGTGGTGATATATTTTGCGATAAGAGTTCTTTCTCTCAATCTGTTTCTATTGAAGATATATCTAAATTTATAAACATAAAATATAACCAGTATTAATTTTTGCCTTTTTTAGTTATCAAAGTTATAAATAATAGCACAAGTCTCTTCAGAAAGATAAATATTTTTATTTTATTAACATAGATATACTGAAAACGACTACTCAGCAGTACTTACTGTCTATATGACGAACAATGGGCGTGCTCGGTAGAGACTCGAACCTTGTATTATTTGGTCTACAGCCTGGTTGACTAACCACTGAGCTATGCAATACATCTTACATAAAGATTAAGAAAGTTAAAACGACACCATTGGTGGTTAATTTTGAATATTATTTTTATTTCTTTTGTAGTCATAAGATAAGAAATGTTAAATAACCAGTTGAGGAAAGGGTATTATTATCCTACTCGAGTGAATTGTTTTTTTTTCCTTAAAACCGATAATCTTTAAGCGAATAAAGGTTCTTTGTGTAGTAATTGTAAATGCAAAATGCTTCTTGTAGCCAATTGTTTGGCAAAGTAATATATAAAGCTTGTTTCTTGGTATTATTTTCAAAATGTTGATTTTTTTTTCTTTAAATTGGCGTTTGACAAAAGAAAGATGAAACCTGCATTCCTTCTCATTAGCAGCTTTAAATTAGGGGTAGCTAAGCCTTAACCTTACGGGAACTATGACCTGGCCGTTTAGCCTATATGTCACATAAGGTGCTGTTCAGGTTGAAAACACCGAATCGGATACCCAAATACTTAAACAAAGAAAAATTATCTAAATAACAGTACATAAAGAAAACTTTTTTTGATATGGCCTAATAGTTAGTGAGCCCCGATTGTAAATTCAACTGTTCATAGCATGCGTTCAGTTGCTACAGTAACGCATTTTCACACTTTGGGGGTCGTCTTGTTCGTTCTAAGAGTATTGTCAAATGTCAGTATTCAGTCAAACTAGAATAGACCAAGAGTTGGCGATGAGTACTGTTTTTAGTTTGCTTCCATATAGTCTATCATTTCCAAATTAGAGAGGACTATGCGCAAACAGCCCTTATATGACTTTCGGAAAAATTCTAAAAAATACAAATAAACGGTTTATTTCTGCATTTCTTATTTAACATGAGAAATTTGTTTAGCTCGTTTCTTTTCTCTTTTGATATCAGTTTCAAATAATTAGAACATCAAACGTTCATTAATCTAGTCCGGTAACAAGCCAACAGCTTAGGGTGTGGATGTAATGTCTTAGAATTCAGTAAGATAAAATAATAAACTATTTGTTCTTAAATATTATTGCCCACCGATGGCTCAGCAGTAAGCTCGAGGTCTTATAACGCTAAAAACCGGGTTTCGATACCTGTGGCGAGCACAGCACAGATAACCTATTGTGTAGTTTTGTGCTTAAAAGCGAACAGACATACATTATCTTTACTTTTCAATATTTCTATGCATAATACTAATAATCACTTGAGAATTAAAACTTTGCTTTGTGCGAAACTGAGTGTTTAATATACCACTACAGAACGTTTCTATCAGCCATTTCAGGAAACATTAAAACATGTAATTGCCCAAGTGCAAGTACTGATATTTCAGAAACGTCACGTTTCAATTTCTTACATACGATGGTTTAATGAGTATTATTTCACAAGGCTTCGAGAATCAAGGAAGATTCACATAAGCACATA